TATTGAGTACAAGCTCTCTGAAGGTTGGTCCCTTTCCCTTCCAAGGCTCCCTGGCCCAGTGTACAGTGTGAAAACCGAGGCCAGAGAAATGAAGTCCCAGCGTCACACCAGTCATTTTTGGCAGAGCTGGCACCACAGCACTTCCACCACTCCAGACAATAGGGGGGGTTGGCGGGGGGATCTAGGGGCCCTCTGGTTGCTCTAAAGGCCTATGATGGGGCTCTGGAAGCCCAACCCTTGTTCTTTTTATTCCACCTTGGAGGCCAGTGGAATTCAGGCTCATTGGATACAAGTGTCCACTGATGTAAAGACTGCCTGGTTTTGTGCATGTTGTCCCCCCAGACTCTCTCACCTAGATCTCAGCCCTCCCCAGCACCCTTCTCCCACCCCTCTGCTCCCCGGCTGCTCCCCAGGACTCTCCATCTCCCTGGTTTTGTTCCCTCTGCCATAGGCAGATGTCTCCACCAGCAGGGAGCTCCCTGCTCACAATGGAGCTCAGCCTCTTCTCCAGTCAGAGACCTGGGGCAGGCTCAGATTGGCCTTTCTGAGGTCAGAGCCCATTCCCAACCCAAGCCTGGGAAGGGACCTTGACTGGAGTGGTCCCCCGTGCTGCAGCTGGCCAGCAGGGGCAGCGGGTGGGCATTGTTCCAGGAAAGGAATGTGCTGAGGTGAGTCAGGTCCCAGAGACCCCCAGCTCTCCTCATCCTTTCTCAGCCGAGCTCTTGCTTCATCGAGAGCAGCTGGACAGCCACTGTGCCGGGATGACCGAGATACTAAACAAGGAGAGGCTGATGTTCTGCCAGTTCCAAGAAGAGCAAAACACCAGGAGTAAAAACTTCCACCGCAAGATTCACGACATGGAGCATATCTTCTTGAACGCCACGAAGAGCCAAAAGTAAGGGGCCCTGGGAGTCTCCATCCTAGCCATGTGGCTCTATAATCCCAACCAGGCTGTGTGTTCAAAGGAGCTGTCAGTCTCTTCCTGGAGACAAAGGTGGAGAAGGCACCAAAGGAAACTTCTCTTGAGTTAACCTCTTTATGAGTCAAAGAGTCAAACTCTGTGAAACATCTGGTTGAGGAGGGAGAAGTGAGTATCCAGAAAGAGAAAAGGGTGCACATAAGTCAGCATGCAAGGGTACAAATGACATGCCTGGAAATGTCAATATTGGGAAAGACCTCTTCATCTCAGGGGAAATCAAGAAGGGCGGCGGCATTTGGAGATGAACCCAGAGGAGCCCTGGCCTGGGATGGAGGAAAGCGAGAAGGGGACAAGTTCCCCAATCAGAGAAGGTGCACTGGCCCAAGCTCCTGGTAGGGGTGTGCTCCAGACAGAGCAGGGGGCCCCAGGGAGGCCCTTCAGGGATGTGAGATGGAGGCCTCAGACAGGTCATGGAGAAGAGCCTGGCAGGTGTCTGTGCAGCCCTCAGGCACACAAGGACAGCTGGCTTGGGTGGACTTGGTTGTAAAGAGGAAACTTGCAGGGCACTCTTGAGAGAGCACAGGACACAGGAGCCATGTTGCCAGGGGTCAGACTGAGAGCCTGCTGGAGGGAGGACAAAGATACAGTAGGGACTGGGATTCTTTTACCAATTTGGTGGCAGGGGTCAGAGACAGGAGAGGGATGTGCTCTGACCCAGCACATCCAGGGTGACACTCTGTGTCCTGCACACACTGGCATTTTTAACTTCCTTCTATTGCCTCCTTTGCTACCCAGAGAAGCTGTGCATGGGTTGTTCTGGTGGTCCCAGAACTCACAGAGTGTAGACCTCAAGCAGCCTCCCAGGATGTCCTCCCATGCTTTAACCACTACCCTCTCATGTCCTCCAGGCTGGTCACCCATCACCACCTGCCCCTCCCATGTCCCCAGGCTGGTACGCATCACCATCCTGACCCTCTTGTGCCCCCCACAGGCTGTTCATTCTCAGCAGTACGCTGCACCGGGAACTGCTTAGCTATGTCGATGTCATCCAGTTGTCCCTGCGCAGCTTCAGACAGTACTTGGAGGAGAGTCTTGGCAAACTCCACTACACCAACATCGAGTTCATCAAGCACTGCAGGTGGGGGCCAGTGTCTGGGGCCTCTTTGGGCCACCAGGGTTTCGCCACTGGTTGGTGATCTTGTTTCCTGCTTAATTTTCCATTGTGGTAACATAAAATTGACCAGTTTTACTACTTTTAGTTGTACAGTTCAGTGTCACTGAGTACATTCAAATTGTGCTGCCATCACCACCATTGATCTCCAGAGCTTTTTCCTATTTATTTATTTATTTATTTATTTATTTATATTTTTAAAAGATGACCGGTAAGGGGATCTTAACCCTTGACTTGGTG